TAGTGACAGCGGATTTAATCTCTTTCACATAACAGACACAGGACAGATTCTCGTACGACCAGCTAAACCGTTTAGAATAAAACATTTCTCCTTTATGAAAAGTATGTGACGCATTTAATTTTTTCTGGATTAAAAAAAACACTCTTATTTTCTTATCACAACGGTGTTAATAAAAGCTGTCTGTAAGTATGCCCTTTCTACAAGGACGGTTCTCAGTTCTGTAAGCAGCATCACAGATTTATACAAATACTGAAGACTTTCACAAGCATATCTACAATATTCATTGCTTTCACATTAAAAATATCAAAATGTCAAGAGCAGATCTATCCATCACAAAACCAAACGATAAAATATAATCCTTGATATGTGGGTTTATATAAGTGGAAAACCCCCAAACTGGTGAGTAAGGTGCATCTACTATAGACATATAAAGCATGCTATAATGTCAAACAATGTCAATCTGCAACTGTTTACTAGATGATTTAGTGATCCCTTGACGGCCGATAGTACAAAAACATGACATCTGTCAGACTGTAACACGTTGACCAGGAAGTTGAAAAGGAAAGCCTCTTATTGGCACACTTACAATACATATTCTATCACCTCAGTACATCAAACTGATTACGAATATACAACAGGAAACATCATGTGAAGACACTGGTAGGACATGTAGGTTCTTTGGCATCAGTTCTAGTTTTGAACATGTACATGTACCAAGAGGATCGTGTTAACCAAGTCCCATCAAATCCCTTCTGTTGTTAATGAGATACAGCTGTAACAAACTTTATATACAAAATACAAAATGGCTACCTCGGGGCCATTATCTTTTTCGATCTATTAATTCATACCCAACTATTGATCAAGATGACCATGCATACCAATTAAGCGTCATGATCATCACTTTAGTTTCTCAGAAATGTATAGCAGTAACAAGCTTTGCATGCAAAATCCAAAATGGCTACCTGGAGACCATTTGTCATTTTTTAGATCCCTCACAAAACTGGAGCATGCCTAACTATGGACCATGGGGGATAAATCATACTACATTACATAATGATTCGTTCATCCCTTAAGTAGTTTTCTGGGAAACAGTAGCAACAAAACTGTTGTTTACAGAAGGCATGAGTAACTGACTCAATGCCAAACACCGGACCACAGATGAAAAGCTATTTGAACAGCCTAACATCATCAAGTGTTACCTCCCTTAGAATCCCCGACTCCTACAAAAGTGATTACTTTTTTGGAGAAGAAGATAAACAGCACAGAAGGCCTCTTACTTTTTTATGGGCTAAGCTTTTCATTAATCACTATTTTTCCACCATGAAATTGTAATAACCTGAGATATGTTACTGTATTTTACCTAATAAGTCAACTCTACACTACCAAAAACAACAACGCTTAGTGCTCTCTAATGCTTAACACTAGAATTACACAAAAGGAGACATGTTCTTATGAGCTTATCTGTTAGCTCATAAACCCATGAAGACACAATTAAACTCCTCCAATTCAAAGGCTGGAATAGTTTATAATGAAATTTCAGGGGTGAATGAGTTAATAAGATGGTAAGCCAAATATAACCATACCAAATAACTGACCATTCATCCATTGTCAGTCGAAAGTGTTTTCCTAGCTAGAAATTTAGAGCGACATTTTTCTTTCGAAATTCCTAGCGAGGTAATATAATTTCTAAATTTTTCAGACGTTTTATAACAAAAAGAAATAACATAATCCTACATTCCTAAAAAAGAAAAGGAGGTAAAGGATCTAAATGCTTCAATAAAGCGTGACAAAACCCTGGTGGTAGTATAGTGAAGAGTTTGTTGCTTTTGTTACACTGACACAGAATCATTGGTCAAAAGATAATAGGCCTTTAAAGCAAGTGACATCAAATTTTAAAACATTTCAACTAAATACTTTGTCTATGACCAATCATTTACGATCCTTGTGCATCCAAGCTTACAAAATTAATTCAACTTCTACAACATGAAAGTTTTTGCTTTCATTTTCCTAAAATGACAAAATATGCATTAATGCCATTTTTGAAATTTGGCCCCAAAAGTTTCTGCAAAGATGATCCTGATCCAACCTTATCCTTCCTTATTTTTCTCAATTCGCTCTCCATTGCTTACAATTTCCTCTTTTTAAATGTGTCCCTTGTGCTCCTTAAAACCAGTGATTAAACCATTGCTTACAACAGCTTTGACATGTGCCTCTGTTAAGCTTCTGTGAAACCACTGTACCCTTTCTTTCTCTATCAGTTCCAGTTAATATGAAGAAATGTGCCCATTTAACTCCTTTGGAACCACTCTTTCCCTGACCTTAAGATCATCTTGGAGTTATCCCCCTTTAGTTCTTTCTTATCATTGTGCACATAATTATGTAGAATCAACGACAACATTAAGTCACATAATTCCGCTTCGTGTGTTGTTCTGGAACCTACAGCTGTGATTGTGTGTGTTAAGTCAAACACTTGTTGAAATCCGAAGCTAGAAGAACATTTGTAAGGTTATATGTACAGGTCTTGTTGAGCATGATATATAAAAAAGTTTGCTTCCAGCATACATACAGCTGTGTGCCTTGATCACTGACCAAGTCAGCATACATACAGCAGCATGCCCTGATCACTGACCGAGTCAGCATACTTACAGCAGTATGCCCTGATCATTGACCGAGTCAGCATACAACCAGCAGTATGCTCTGATCCCTGACCGAACCAGCATAAAAACAGCAGTATGCCCTAACCACTGACCGAGTCAGCATGCAGCATACATACAGCTGTGTGACTTGATCACTGACCAAGTCAGCATACAAACAGCAGTCTGCTCTGATCACTGACCGACCCAGCATACAAACAGCCGTATCCTCTGATCTCTGACCGAACCAGCATACACACAGCAGTATGCCCTGAACACTGACCGAACCAGCATACAAACAGCAGTATGCCCTGATCACTGACCGAGTCAGCATGCAGCATACATACAGCATACCTGCAGCATTGTGACCCGATGTCTGGGCCAGACATTAGATGACAGTGCATCAATACCTCATTTAAGCATAAATCAGCTCCCTAGAGGGGAATCCGTACAGCTAGCTGGTTAATTATTGGCCAAACAGTTACATAATCACACAAATCTCACAGCCAAATAGGCTCCCACATAGAAGACGAAGACTCCATTGAAAGCCCTTCATTTAGAGTTACAAGGCATAAAATCAACATAACACCAACTAAACTAATTATGTCTTTGAGTCGTGTCCTTTTTTTTCTCCTTTTGTGTGTGATAAAAATAGGAACCAGTTCTAAAGAAGAAATGTGTAATTAAAAATCAACTGGAAAAATCGACTGAGGTAGTGAAAAACGACATCACTCATGTGGAAGATTTTAATTACAATGTAAACAATGGCCAAGTAGGTGTTTCCCCACGAGTGTGATTAATATAAATATATAGCATACAATTGATAATTCGTACCAACAGCGTCCTGTGTCAGACTCCTATCCACCTGTTCTCTATAACGGACAGACTCCATCTCACAATCAATGGTCCGCATAATCCAGGCTAATTCAAGCCTTTGGTCCCAGTTGCACTTAGATTCATATATCAGAAATTATTTATTCAATGCATGAATTATTGCTGTGTAGATTTACAATATTTAATACAACATTAGAAAGGAATCTCACTAACATTGACCAGCTGTATGGTAAATGTAAATGACTGGTAAATTAACCAAGTACCATCCCCATGTGACTTTTGTACTGACCTGGTACCATCCCCATGTGACTGTTGTACTGACCGAGTACAATCCCCATGTGATCTGACCAAGTACCATCCCCATGTGACTGTTGTACTGACCGAGTACAATCTCCATGTGACGTTTGTACTGACCTAGTACCATCCCCATGTGAATTATGTACTGACCTAATACCATCCCCATGTGACTTTCGTACTGACCTAGTACCATCCTCATGTGACTTTTGTACTGACCAAGTCCAATCCCCATGTGACTTCTGTGCTGACCGAGTACAATCTCCATGTGACGTTTGTACTGACCTAGTACCATCCCAATGTGACTTTTGTACGGACCTAGTACAATCCCCATGTGACTTCTGTACTGACCAAGTACAATTCCCATGTGATCTGACCAAGTACAATCCCCACGTGACTTTTGTACTGACCTGGTACCATCCCCATGTGACTGTTGTACTGACCGAGTACAATCCCCATGTGATCTGACCAATTACAATCCCCATGTGACTTGTGTACCGACCAAGTACAATTCCCATGTGATCTGACCAAGTACAATCCCCAGGTGACTTTTGTACTGACCTACTACCATCCCCATGTGACTTCTGTACTGACCTAGTACAATCCCCATGTGACTTTCGTACTGACCTAGTACCATCCTTATGTGACTTTTGTACTGACCAAGTCCAATCCCCATGTGACTTCTGTGCTGACCGAGTACAATCTCCATGTGACGTTTGTACTGACCTAGTACCATCCTTATGTGACTTTTGTACTGACCTAGTACAATCCCCATGTGACTTGTGTACTGACCAAGTACAATTCCCATGTGATTTGACCAAGTACAATCCCCATGTGACTTTTGTACTGACCTAGTACCATCCCCATGTGACTTTTGTACTGACCTAGTACCATCCTCATGTGACTTTTGTACTGACCAAGTACCATCCCCATGTGACTTCTGTACTGACCAAGTACAATCTCATGTGACTTTTGTACTGACCAAGTACAATCCCCATGTGATCTGACCAAGTACAATCCCCATGTGATCTGACCAAGTACCATCCCCATGTGACTGTTGTACTGACCGAGTACAATCCCCATGTGACTTCTGTACTGACCGAGTTTATTGTACATTAACTTAACTTTTTTGTTTATTTCTCATATTTATTTTGTTTTTGTTTTAGAAAAGATTGGGTAATACGAAACATTTATTTTTTTGTATTTAATGTTATGAAGTAAAATAATAGGAGTACATACCTGTAGCTGTGCCATGAATTATCTGAAAAATACAAAAATAACACAACCATTAACAACAAGTTCAAGGAGACAACCATTAACAATAAGTTAAAGGAGACGACCATTAACAATAAGTTAAAGGAGACGACCATTAACAATAAGATCAACAATACAACCATTAACAATAAGTTCACGGAGACTACCATTAATAATAAGTTAAAGGAGACAACCATTAACAATAAGTTCAACAATACAACCATTAACAATAAGTTCACGGAGACGACCATTTACAATAAGTTCAACAATACAACCATTCACAATAAGTTCAACAATACAACCATTAACAATAAGTTCAACAATACAACCATAAACAATGACTTTAACAATACAACCATTAACAATGACTTTAACAATACAACCATTAACAATGACTTCAACAATACAACCATTTACAATGACTTTAACAATACAACCATTAACAATGACTTCAACAATACAACCATTGACAATGACTTCAACAATACAACCATTAATAACGACTTTCACAAAATATTTACAAGCTCAAACCTAAAATAATTGAATTCCGTAAATTCAAACTGACGAGCTATGTAATAATAATCTAGTTATCTATTAGATCCACTTTCCCTTGGTCAGCGTAAAACTTCTAATAAACACAATTTTGACCTAAGGAGGATGGAGGTATAAAGGTTGTAGATGGGACAGAAGATCTAGATGATAAGTCCTAAGAGGCCGGGTGTGGAATTGATTCTGGAGAATACCAATCATGCTTTAGGAAATACTAAAACTAGATCGCCTCTGGTATTAATCCTAGGGTGATTTGTACATTGACTATACATCAATGCTTGAGGCCTGCTTGTTTGTTTTATCTAGTCAGGATACTCCATCAGAGGTGGACACTTCTCCAATGCATCATGTCTAATCTTCCAACCTCATCAAGGGTCAGTCTTAATTCCCAGGACTTGTTATACCATTTACATTAAATGTTATAGTAAGCACACCGGGCAAGGACAAATCAGACAATAGGGAGGGTAGTGGTTATCAATAATTTGTTATACCATTTACATTAAATGTTATAGTAAGCACACCGGGCAAGGACAAATCAGACAATGGGGAGGGTAGTGGTTATCAATAACTTGTTATACCATTTACATTAAATGTTATAGTAAGCACACCAGGCAAAAATGCAAGGACAAATCAGACAATAGGATATTCACATGAATTATTGAATATGTAATAAAAGGTATTAAATTCATGAGATTTTGAAATTTGTCTGAAAGTTTTGTAAAGCCCTACTTAAATGAAAACTTTCAGACTTGTTGCGTTATTCTAAATGTAACAGACAGGCTTTTTAAGATCCTCTACATATCTCAACATCGCAACAAGCCCAATAAATCCATCGTTACCTTAACGGTTGATGATTTGTCAGCATCAGAATACACGAAACAAAGTTGTCTCGACAGGCCAACATCATACGGGACTACCTCCTCACATTAACAACACAATATACATAAATCAAATAACGTAGGCCTTGTGAGACCCTTCTGACACGAGGAAGCCTGATCCTTCAGTCATCTCCTTAATACATATTACGAGATGTCAACATTTCCATCCATTCTTACAAATGTTCCAATCAGTTTGGAATATTGTATTTAAAGGAATCTTTTGTTGGGAACATTTCGAATGCTAACAGCCAGATGATTACATTTGGTTGGAGAGAAATGCCTGGCGGTTTGCTAATCAATACACATTTTTTTTTAAATTGAATGTTGATAATCAAATGTTCACAACCGAGAGTTACGACCTTGAAGTACAAATGTATTGAATTTTGAAATGAGGTTAAAAGAGTGAAATAACAGCAAGTCATTGGATCACCAAGTCAGTAACTAGATCATTGGTACGTTTTTAAACAGGACGCTTTTTATCTTTAATTTTTAATTGATTTTGGATTGATATTGGGAGCCTTAGTCAGTGAGAGAATTACAGGAAATCTACAAGACTTACTGTCTGTACAACAACTACAAGCAGGTTGACAAGAGCATTTCTCTACTTCATCACAGGGGCCAGCCTACAGTAATAGTTCCTCGGTACTCAGTTAACATCCTCTTACTTAACGGGAGACCTAGATATATTCATACATTTTAATTATCAACTGCGTGTTTCTACAACTCGGTTGTTTGAACAGTTTTAAAGAAAGATAGATAACGGAGTGTACTTTAAACCTCAGTTATTGGTAAAAAGATCAGAGGAGTTCAGTGGCCTAGACAGTGACTGACAGTTCCCCAGCAAGGACAATGGTTCATCATAGGCATGCTTACCCATATGTTGGTACTCATCTGTACAGCTAGGCTGATGTAAAATAATTATGGAAGCAAAGTAACTTTTTTCAAGGACAAAACAAATATGATTCCTGTTGCAGAAACTTTCAGTTGTGAGCAGAACGTTCTTCTAAAGACTACTTACATCCATCATGGGAAAGTTGCAAAGGAAATATAATTACGAGACACAAAGCGACAATTTCAATATAATCACATTCACAACAAGGAACCAGTTTGTTCAGAAGTAGCTGTAAAGCACATTTACAAGGAAATTTTCTTCTCACATTGTTTCACAAAACCCCTATTTCATTAATTCAAATCCCTTGCAAAGCAGTATGCATTCATTTACCCGTAGTTCAATCATCAATTTGAATTTTAATCTTTGCCAGAGGAGCTACAGTGCTATCACTGAGGAAGAATTTCAAATTTTCTCAGGAAGGTTTAAGATACAGAAGGGAAATTGCCAATTGTTATGCAAATGACAAGAATAACAATTTAAAAGACAACATGACAACGAGTTATGGATACTTATGACTGGTAGGTATAGCAGCCAGACACAAATATAGGCTCGGCTTGTGATACCACACTACTGTACATTAAACTGTACAATCGTCCCCACAAGTCCTATAAAACTGCTCTACCCATAACATCGCCTACACTACCCTCTCCTGACAGATATCTTCCTCTTGTCATCCGTTTCCTAGGTATACACACCTCTATTACTAAGGCTAACACTTCCATCCCCTGTATGCCAGATACTCTTGGTTGGTCAGTGCTGTGGATATAGAACAAGGACATTTCCCGAAGACGACTGGGGTTTGATTCCCCATTCAGATGTGTAAACGTATTTGGTTTCCGTCCACATTAAGACACCATTCCTTTGTAATTGATGTAAAATATAAAGCTTTATTTTTTACTCTTGCCAAGTTGTCGTCCTTCTCCTATTTATATATCTGTTATCTAATCACAAGTTGTCGTCCTTCTCCTATTTATATATCTGTTATCTAATCACAAGTTGTCGTCCTTCTCCTATTTATATATCTGTTATCTAATCACAAGTTGTCGTCCTTCTCCTATTTATATATCTGTTATCTAATCACAAGTTGTCGTCCTTCTCCTATTTATATATCTGTTATCTAATCACAAGTTGTCGTCCTTCTCCTATTTATATATCTGTTATCTAATCACAAGTTGTCGTCCTTCTCCTATTTATATATCTGTTATCTAATCACAAGTTGTCGTCCTTCTCCTATTTATATATCTGTTATCTAATCACAAGTTGTCGTCCTTCTCCTATTTATATATCTGTTATCTAATCACAAGTTGTCGTCCTTCTCCTATTTATATATCTGTTATCTAATCACAAGTTGTCGTCCTTCTCCTATTTATATATCTGTTATCTAATCACAAGTTGTCGTCCTTCTCCTATTTATATATCTGTTATCTAATCACAAGTTGTCATCCTTCTCCTATTTATATATCTGTTATCTAATCACAAGTTGTCGTCCTTCTCCTATTTATATATCTGTTATCTAATCACAAGTTGTCGTCCTTCTCCTATTTATATATCTGTTATCTAATCACAAGTTGTCGTCCTTCTCCTATTTATATATCTGTTATCTAATCACAAGTTGTCGTCCTTCTCCTATTTATATATCTGTTATCTAATCACAAGTTGTCATCCTTCTCCTATTTATATATCTGTTATCTAATCACAAGTTGTCGTCCTTCTCCTATTTATATATCTGTTATCTAATCACAAGTTGTCGTCCTTCTCCTATTTATATATCTGTTATCTAATCACAAGTTGTCGTCCTTCTCCTATTTATATATCTGTTATCTAATCACAAGTTGTCGTCCTTCTCCTATTTATATATCTGTTATCTAATCACAAGTTGTCGTCCTTCTCCTATTTATATATCTGTTATCTAATCACAAGTTGTCGTCCTTCTCCTATTTATATATCTGTTATCTAATCACAAGTTGTCGTCCTTCTCCTATTTATATATCTGTTATCTAATCACAAGTTGTCGTCCTTCTCCTATTTATATATCTGTTATCTAATCACAAGTTGTCGTCCTTCTCCTATTTATATATCTGTTATCTAATCACAAGTTGTCGTCCTTCTCCTATTTATATATCTGTTATCTAATCACAAGTTGTCGTCCTTCTCCTATTTATATATCTGTTATCTAATCACAAGTTGTCGTCCTTCTCCTATTTATATATCTGTTATCTAATCACAAGTTGTCGTCCTTCTCCTATTTATATATCTGTTATCTAATCACAAGTTGTCGTCCTTCTCCTATTTATATATCTGTTATCTAATCACAAGTTGTCGTCCTTCTCCTATTTATATATCTGTTATCTAATCACAAGTTGTCGTCCTTCTCCTATTTATATATCTGTTATCTAATCACAAGTTGTCATCCTTCTCCTATTTATATATCTGTTATCTAATCACAAGTTGTCGTCCTTCTCCTATTTATATATCTGTTATCTAATCACAAGTTGTCGTCCTTCTCCTATTTATATATCTGTTATCTAATCACAAGTTGTCGTCCTTCTCCTATTTATATATCTGTTATCTAATCACAAGTTGTCGTCCTTCTCCTATTTATATATCTGTTATCTAATCACAAGTTGTCGTCCTTCTCCTATTTATATATCTGTTATCTAATCACAAGTTGTCGTCATTCTACTATTT